CACAATGGATCAAGAAGTAAGACACAAAATGCTGCATTCAAGAAACACATGTAACTCAAAAAGAAACTCATAAACTGAAAGTCAAAGGATAGAAAACAATACTCCATGCCACAGTAACCCCCCAGAAAAGCAGGGGTAGCTATTCTATTAGTAGACAATGTCAACTTCAAGGCAAGACTAATCAAAATAGACAAGAAGGTCACTACATTCTTGTTAAGGGAAAACTCTAATAAGAGATAATTATCATACCAAACACTAATGCATCCAACTATACAAAACAAATATTAACAGGCATAGAAAAATCAAAACAGCACTAAAACAATTGTAATGGGGGACTTTAATACCATTCTTTCTTAATTAAATCAACTAAACAAAAAATCAAAGAAATATCAGAGTTAAAACAAGCTTTTGAATAAATGGACTCAGATGTCTATAGAATGTTCTACCCTATAACATCAGAAAACACATTCTTCTCGGCTGCACATGGAATGTTCTCCAAAGTAGACCACATACTAGCCCATAAAACATCCTTAAGTAAATGCAGAGGAATGATCCCATGCATATTACTGGACCATAGTGCAATGAAATTGGAAGTCAATGGCAAAAGAAACCACAAAACTACATAAACATGTTGAACAACACCCTTTTGAACAATCAATGGGTCACAGAGGAAATTAAAGAAGAAATTAAACAATATCTACAATTAAAAAAAAATGTCAACCTGCTTTGAAACTCAATTTCCTTGTTATGTTTATGTTTCTCTTTTAAAAAAAATTATAGCCTTGAAAAACAAATGCTGATACAACATATCAGAACTTATGGGACCCAATGAAAACAGTCCTGAGGGAAATTTATAGGGAAAAATTCTCACAGCATGAAAACAGAAAGAGCTTAAATAAACAACTTAATGTTGAACTTCAAACTCCTAGAAAAAGAAGAACAAATCAAACCCAAAGCTTGCATGAAAGGAAATTATAAAGATCAGAGCAGAAATTAATACTATTGAGAATAAAAAAATAAAAAATCAATGAAGAGTTGGCTCTTTGAAAGATTAATAAAATTGATAAACTCCTAGCCAATCTTATTAGGAAGAGGAAAGAAAAGACCAAAATTCAAGCAATTAGGAATGGAAGAAATCACAATGGATATTGTATAAATCCAGAAGATCATCAATATCTACATCAAGAACCTGTACTCTAATAGAATGGAAAACAAAAGAAATGGACAGACTGCTAGGCACATATGAATTATAAAAACTGAATTAAGAAGATATATATTCTAAATAATCTGGTATCCGTCAATAAAATTGAAAATGTAATAAAAAAACTACTAACAAAGAAACGTCCATGTCCTGATTAATTAACTGCTAAATTCTGCAAGAAATTTAGAGAATTAATGCCATGAATGTTCAAACTCTTTAATGAAATTGAAAGATAATTTTCAAAATCATTCCTGAAAGCAAGTGTTATCCTGATACCAAAACCACAGAAAGATCCAAAAAAGAAATAGAAAACTACAGGCCAATCTGCCCAATGAACATAGATGCAAAAATACTCAACAAGATATCAGCAGACAGAATGCAACTAATCATCAAGAAAATTATACACTGTGATAAAGTAGTATTCATCCCAGAGATTCAGGAATGGTTCAAAATACACAAATCAATAAATGTAATACTCAATATTAACAATAATCAAATTATTATTGATTACTGTTACTAACAGTCATATTAACATATGATCAATAAATGTAATACATCACGTTGACAAAGCCAAAGACAAAAATCACATGATCACCTCAATAGATGCAGAAAAAATATGACAAAGTCCAACACCCATTCATGATAAAAATCCCACAGAATACTAGACTAGATGGTCTTTATCTCAATCTAATAGAATCCATTTAAACAAACCAACAGCTAACATCACACTAAAAGGTCAAAAACTAAAAGCTTTCATTGTAAAGTCAGGAAGAAGACAAGGATGTCCACTTTTACCACTTCTATTTAATACAGTTCTGGAAACATTAGCCAGAACAATTAGACAAGAGACAGAAATAAAAGGAATACTGACAGGAAAGGAAGAAGTTAAATTATTATTTGTGGATGACATGATAAACTACATAGAAGACTCCCAAAACACCAAAAGACTGCTAGATCTAATAAGGAAATCCAGTAGTGTAGCTGGATACGAAGTCAACAGTCAAACATCAATAGCATTCCTGTATACAAACAACAACAGATCCATCAATAGAGAAATTAGGGAAACTACACCCTTCACAATAGCACTCACCCCAAAAAAGAAATACCTAGGAATCAATCCAACAAAGGAAGTAAAAGATCTATACATTGAAAATTACAGTATTATAAAAAAAAAAAAAAGAGAGAGAGATCAAAGAGGGTATCAGTGAATAGAAAGATATGTCTTCTCATAGACAGGAAGAACCAACATAGTGAAAATGACCATACAGCCAAATCTGTCATACAGATATAACACAATCCTGGTCAAAATACCATTAGTCTAACTCTTAGGACTAGAGAAAACAATCCTAAAAATTCATTTGGAAAAGAAGAGACCTAGAATAGCAAAAACAACTCTGGGCAACAACGACCAGGCAAGGGTTGAAATTATACTACAAAGATACTGTGATAAAATCAGCATGGTACCATTAAAAAAACAGACCTGAGGATCAGTGGAACAAATTAGAATATGCAGAAACAACTCCAAGCATACCTAGCCAACTTATTTTTAACAAACTGCTGGAATAACTGGTTTTCCACATAATGAAGACTAAAGCTAGAACCATGTCTATCACCAGGCACCAAATTAAGTCAAAATGGATCAAAGAACTAAATATTAAAACAGAAACACTGGGCCGGCAAGATAGCTCAGTGGACGAAGCACCTGCTTAGGCAAGTGCAAGGACCTGTGTTCAATCCCCAGCACCATATGCCATGCTGGCCCTGCCCCCACATGTGCTGAGCCAGAACAGGCATGGTGGCATACTCCTGTAATCCTAGCAATGAGGAGGTTGAAAACAGGAGGATCATTATGAGTCTGAGCTGTATAGTGAGACCCTGTTCCAATGCATAAAAAAATTAAAAAACAAAACAAAACAAAAAACAAAAACAAAAAAACAACCCAACCCAGAAACACTGCATCTGTTGAAAGAGAGAGGAGGTGAAAATCTTGAAGATATAGGTGCAGGTAGAGAGTTCATGAACAAAACCCAGGCTGCATAGGAAACAACTTAAAGAATCAACAACTGGGATCTCATCTTATTACAAAGCTTTTGCACATCCAAAGAAATCATCAATAGACTAAAAAGACACACATAGTGGCAAAAAAAATTAGCCAGTTGTCCTCAGACAAAGGGCTTATATCTAAAATATATATAAAGAATTAAAAAAAAACTAGACCCCCAAATTCGAAGACCCAATCCAAAAAGGGGAATCTGAGATGCATATGCATTTCTCAAATGAAGAAATACAAGTAGGAAACAATTAGACGAAAAAATGTTCAACATCTTTGGTCATTTGCGAAGTAAAAGTTAAAACAACACTGAGATTTCACCTTACTCCAGAAAGATTGGCTATCATCAAGAAATCAACCTCGGACTCGTTCCCTGGCACCACCTACTGGCCATCAAGTCTGGGCATGGTGGCACACTCCTGTAAACCCAGTGTGCTGGGGAGGCTGAAAACAGGAGGATCACTATGAATCTGAGCTGCGTAGTGAGACCCTATATTAAATACATTAAATAAATAAATAAATAAAATAAACAAAACAAGAAATTAACCAATAACAAATGCAGTGGGCACTGTGGGGAAAAGAAACTCCTTGCTTCTGCTGGTGGGAATGCAGATTCCTGCAACTACCGTGGAAATCAAAATCAGTATGGAGATTCCTCAAAAGTTAAGATGAAAGGTCCTATTAGACCCAGTTATTCCCTTTCTGTGAATCTTCCCAGAAGAATTAAAAACAGCACACCACAGCAATATATGTGCATCCATGTTTAGAGCAGCATAATTTTTTATAGCTAAATCTTTTTTATTTAATTATATTTGGTACAGTGTCTCACTATAGAGCTTGGATCCATAGTGATCCTCCTTTTTTTAGACTCCCCAGCACTGAGATTACAGGTGTGTGCCACCATTCCCAGACTCAGCTGCTGGCTCAGCATGCCTAGGGGAAGGGCTAGCTCAGCATGTGGTGCCTGAGATTGAATCCTGGTCTCTGCACTTGCCTAAAGTAATAGCTAAATCTTGTAATAGATAAAACAAACCAAATCCCATCAACTAAGGAATAGGTAAAAATGCTGTGGTATTTTTATTAAATGGAATACTACTCAGTCATAAAGAAAGATAAATTTGAGACTTTTACAGGTAAATGGATGCTACTTGAGGTCATACTCATAAGTGAAATAAATCAGACTTGCATATATAAGCATCATATTGTCTCCCCAGTGATCAGAGGGAAAGAGGAACTAGGATGGAGAACAGGGAAGCAGGAGAATGGGAAGGGAAAAAGGAAAAAAAAAAAGCAAGTCAGTCATACTAATCGTGTCTCTTAATTCACTGAAAGGAGAGGTTTCTGTTAGTATTGATTGCAGGAAATTTTAATGCCCAACACCTTGTACTCTGCAACTATTTGAAAAATAACAATATGCATTGCATTAACCATTATTATTCTCCTACTGTTTTGTGTTACGAAATTTTGTTTTTTTTCTCTTTTTTTTTCAGTCTTTTTGAGACAGGGTCTCACTATGCAGTTCAGGCTGTCCTGAAGTGAGCTCACTTTGTAGCCCAGGCTGGTCTTGAACTTGTAACAATGCTCCTGCCTTATCCTCCTGAGTGCTGGGATAACAGGTGTGTGTAAATCACTTTTTCATAAAAAATCACATATGCAGAATATATAGAAAATTAATTACATAATCTCTATTATACTTTACTGAATTAATCTTTGCAAACAAATATTAATATAAACTTGATGGAAACTTACCTTGACAATGGTTTGATAAACAAAAGGAAGGATTTGTTTTGACCACTGCTTTTCTAGACGAACTTCACCATTATGATTTATTTGATATTTACGACCTGTGAGTAACTGAGCATACACAACTGTGGATGTTTCATTTATTATTATTCCTTTTCTTCTCAAGTAACTAAAAGAAATAAGAAATATAATCTAAGGTGATAATTATCATCCAACTAGAAAAAACAACAGATAAAATGAGTATTAATTGATAAAATTTTTTAATGAACTAGGGATATAAAGAGATTTTCTTAAGCAAAAAATGCTAATTAATAACAAGATTGGGCCGATGAGATAGCTCAGTGGTCTAAAGAGCCTGCTTAGGCAAGCGTAGGCAGGCACAGGGGACTGAGGTTCGATCCCCAGCACCACATGCCATGCCAGCCCCACCCTCAGGGTGAGTTGAGCCAGCCAACAACAAAAACAAAAACAAAAAAAACCAAGAAACCCCCCCCAAAAAAACCCAAGATTACAGCAACCCTAATACTCATTGGCAAACTATTAGTTTCTTCTAACATTGAGAATGAGACTGTAAGCCAATGAAAAAAGTACAAAATAACAAAGTTGCCGGCATTTCATAAGAGTATAGTATGTATATTCACATAGCCAACAAAAGAGGATATTCAATTTATTGGTCATCAGGGAAATGCACATCAAACCAAAATTAGACATTAAGGTACCCGAATGGCATTGTGGCTTGTTTTTCATTTGATCATTTGATCTTTCTTTCTTTCTTTTTTTTTTTTTTTGGCGGAACCGGGGATTGAACTCAGATCCTTGCGCTTGCCAGGTAAGTGCTTATTGTACTGAGCCATCTCCCTGTCCCCCCTTTTTTTTTTGTATTTTGTGCAGGGTCTCACTATGTAGCTTGGACTCATAGTGATACTTCTGTTTTCAAGTCTCCCAGGGGCTGGGGAGATGGCTCAGTAGGATAAGCGCTTGACTGGTAAACGCAAGGATCTGAGTTCAATCCCGGGTTCCGCAAGAAAACAAAAACAAAAACAAACTGAAATCTATTTAGGGCAGGGGAGATGGCTCAGTGGAATAAGTGCTTCCCTAGCAAGTGCAAGGGCCTGAGTTCAAGGGCCTGAGTTCAATCCCTGGTTCCACCAAAAAAAAAAGTAATGCAATACCTCAAGTCTCCCAGTGCTGGGATACAGATGTGTGCCACTGTGCTGGGACTTGGTGGCTGACTCAGCGTGCCCGAAGGCGGGGCTGGCGTGGCATGTGGTCAAACCCTGGTCCCTGTGCTTGCATAAGGAGGTGCTGAATCCACTGAGCTATCTTGCTGTCCTGTCATTTGATTTTTCTTGACAGTCACTGGCAAGTTAGAAATCTTAACATTTAAATTTCTATTAATGGCTACTTTTTATAGAGCATTGCTATGTAGACCAGGTTGAACTTGTGGTTCTCCTCTTCAGCCTCCTGGGTGCTGAGATAACAGGTAGCACAGCAGCCCCCTCATAGCAAATCAGTTGTAGCACTGGGACCCAATCACCTTCCCAAAGCTCCACTTCTGAATACATGAGGCTTTTGAGGGACACTCTAGATTTACACCATAGCATATCTCATTCCCTCTTCAAATGTATTGTCTGCTCTTCCTGAATGTCACACTTTCCCTTCTTATGTGTTTTTACACAGAACACTTCTTTGAATAATGCAAAAATCCAATCCACTTATATCTATATTCTTCTTTAGTTATCTGTTTTAACTTTTCCCATGACTATAACTCTTGATTATTCCTTTACCCATTCTAGTTTGACTTTTAGCCTTGTAAAATAGCTCTTAGTTGGTCTCTTTAAAACATCTGACATGGCTTATTGCTTTATTTTATAATATGATTTTTAGTTTTGATTTACACATGTAACCCTTTCCCAGTTCATCTCTTGTCTGAGTTTGTCTCTTTTCTTCTCCTTTGCCTTCACCAATATGTAGTGCTTTTCTTATGGCCACAGGGACTCACAGCTAAGTCTTTCATCATCTTGAAAGATACTTTTTTTTCACTTATACCTTAATTTCTACTCCTCATTTTAATAACAGGTTAGTTGACATTTCTTTGGGAAAGGTGGAAAATTCCTCTGAAGACAAGTCAAACTTCCTCTATTAGGTGGTCTCAGAGTACCACTTCTCCAATAATTATTATATTGCAGTTTGACCAAATGTCACATGCCAATGGCTGTCCTATTCTCTTGCTAAGTTTCAAGAGTGTAGGGACTGCAGGTCTATAGTGCCTACTATTATATCTAGTGGTAGTGCTGATATTTAGGTATGAACTCATGAATATCATGTATAAACAAATAACTGAACTTTTCATCTGAAGTACTTTGAATGAGTTTCAGTTTTTCCCAATCAAAAGAATTTTGTCTAAAATGATATTTATTCAAAAAACAGTAATAATTACCGGGGGGCCTCAATACTAGCGAAAAATTAGAATATAATATTAAGAAAAAATAGACATATCTTTACCTTTACTGAGCATATTATGAAGTCACTAACATAATCACATGGTTTATTATTGATTTTATATGAAAAGTTTAAAATGATATGAGTTATAACAAGGATATATTAATTTATATTGTTGGGAGGTAAAAATGTGTTCTACCTCCATCTGTTCAAAGCTATGCTTATGTCCTTTTATACTAGGCCTAGTATTAGCTCCAGAATTATAGAGTGGGTATCTTTTTGAATTCTCTTCAAGTTTATTTAAGGATGTTATTACAGTTTAAACAAGAGTGTTGATGGATATACATTTACAGCATTATTTTATGTCAATATCAGCTTCTAGCACTCTGTCTTGGTTTTGAGATTTCCCATATTGAAAGAAAGAAAGAGAGGAAATGTTAGAATGGACATGGGACAAAAAACATTGGTGACCTTGAAAATTAGCACTGTGAGGATGTCCAGGTTTTTAGTTTGTTTAAGAGGTAGAGATTGATTTCTAAACCATCTGAAAACTGGGGGAAGGGAAGTGGGAAGAGTGAAGAGGGAAAGATGATAGGAAACAGTCATCCTTATTTTCATTACTTTCATGTGTGGGAGAAATTAAATAACATTATGGTTAAATAGCACTCAAAGTCAGACAAGATATTAAATATTAATTCTGTTTGATAAGAGTAACTTATGTTTAGCATACTCACTGTTCCGATATTCCCTGTACTTCTTTTATCCAGCTAGATTGCTCTTTATCTCCAAGATGGATCACTTTAGATGGTGGAGCAGTTCTTCCAAAGTACAGCTTCTGAGTCCCTGGAGGTTCTTCCAAGTAAAATCTTAAAAATTAAAAATTACATATCATCAAATTTGCTCCTCATTATACAGTTCTAACTATGTGGGTCTTTAAAATGAAGAAAATTTTATATAGTAAAATATAGTAAAAGATTTCCTTTTTAGAAACTATAAACTTCAGGAGATGAGATAGCTTGGTGGGCTAAGCACCTGCCTAGCAAGTGGAAGGACCCAGGCTCGACACCCAGTACCACATGTCGTGCTGGCCCTAGAACCCCTGGAACGCCATGCTTGCCAGTGATACTAGGTGTGATGGAGCACTGGGGAGGCTGAGACAGGAGGACTACTATGAATCCAAGCTGTATAGCGAGACCTTGTACCAAATAAATAAATAAATAAATAAATAAATGATTCAAAAATTATAAACTACAGAATAAGGACTTGTAGAAAATTTGAAAGCCTAGCTCAGTGGTACCAGTAGTTCTTGCTACTTGGGAGACCTGCGTAGGAAGAGCCCAGACTGTGCAATGTAGTAGGACCTCATCTGAAAAACATCAAAGACAACAAAACCCAACCAAAAATCATTTCATTTATATTCACTCCAAGATGAATTAAATACTTAAGTATAAATAAAACATGCATGATCATATTTGGTCTTTATGATGAAAAATTTCATTTCTCTGGTGAAGAAATGAAAGCTTTAAACCAGAAGATACATAGTACTATTCCCATAAGCTGAAACATACTACATAGCAAAGAGGCCAAGCTTCCTCAAGTTGATCTATAGGTTTTAGTAAAATTTTAGTGACAATCCACCCAAAATTTTTTATAGTTACTAAACAATCTATTCTAAAAATTATAAGGAAAAGCATAGAACCTAGAAGAGCTACAGCAATTTTGAAAAAGAAAAGAAGTATTGAAGGAATCATTCTACTTGATATTAAGACTTATTATACATCTACAGGAATCAAGAATAGTGTGATATACATATAAAACTAAACCATGTAAATCAATGAGACAGAAAACCAAGAAAAATATACACCAATATACTAACAGTCTTCTGACAAAGATACAAAAATAATCCAAGGGTGATAATCTTTTTGACAAATGAGGCTGCAGGAATTGAACATTCATAGACAAACATGACACTTGACCTAAGTCTCATACCTTATAGACAAGTTAATTCAAAATGGAGCAATGATTTAATTAAATTAATTCAAAATGGATCACTCTTTTGTACCAGGGATTGAATTCAGGATTTTACACATCCTAGGCAGTCTATTTGTCCACTGAGTTATCTCCCTGGCCCTAAAACTAGATCACTTTTAAAAGAAGTTGAAAGTATAAAGCTTTTCAAAGAAAATTCAGAATAAGAGAAAAATCTTAGGGATCTATAGCTAGGCAAAGTGTTCTTACATATGATACTGAAAGCATTATTAGTAATCTGGACTACAACAAAAAAGGTAGGAGACCTGAATGTTGACTCAAAAAAAAAAAAAAAAAAAAAAAAAAAAAAAAAAAAAAAAGCCCAAGATTTCATAGAGAAAAGCACATGTCAAAAAGGTTAAAAAAAAAAAAAATCACACAAGACTGACTTTTCCTTAGTAACATGATATGGCGGAGCATAACTGAGAGATGTATGCAGCAGAGCTAAGGAAAAAGGACTTCCTCTCTAAAAATTCTAAGCTCGTGTGAACAAAAAATAAAAAAAAGTACTATATTGCAAGCAAGAGTGATTCCCAAAGTATGAAGCATCAGAGAAACATGAAGCAGAGCTATATGCTGCCTAAGTTTGAAGGAAAATAAAAACTAAAACAAGGTTATGAATTTGTCCAGTAGGGTAAAAATGCTGGCCTTCGAAATTCCATCCCAGTAGATAGGTAGAAGCAAAGTCCAAGTCCTGCAGAATAGATAGGACCAGGTAGAAGGAGGCAAGCAGGTAGCAAGCAGGCAGTGAGTCCTTGATCAAGAAGTTTATACTGAAAAGAGAACTAGAAATATAACTATAAGGCTGACAAAGAAAAACCTATGTATTCAAGGTAGAATGACTGTGAACATGGACGAAAGACATTATTCTCAGCCAAGCATTGTGGCACATGCCTATAATCACAGCACTTGGGAGGTTGAGAAAGGAAGATTAGTATGAGTTTGTGGCCAGTCTGGGCTACATAAGCAAGTTTAACACCAGCCTACACTACATAATGAGACTCAGCCTAAAAATATTATTCTTAAAATAGAAGATACAAGTTGGTGAACGTGCCTGGAATTCTAGCATTGAGGAGGCTGAGAAAGGAAGATTTCCAATATGAGGCCAGTCTGGGCTACATAGCCAGGACTTGTCTCAAAAATCTTTTTAAATAGTGTCTTTATAAAAAAAATGAATGTATTATTTAACTGAAACCCAGGAAAAACATAGTAAAATAAGGCTTTATGTATATTATAAATTATTTTATTGAGAAACAAATAGCAATAAGACAGTTTCAAAACTGATTAATAGGTCAGTTTCAATAATTAATACATTGTACATTGTTATCTTCTTAGTGGTTATACAGCGAGTGATCATCTCTCTCTCTCTGTTTTTTTTTTGGTGGAACTGGGGATTGAACTCAAGCCCTTGTGCTTGCAGGCAGGGGCTTGTTCTACTGAGCCATCTTCCCAGCCTTAGAAATTCTTATCAGAAACAGAAATGTATTTTCTAAATATTATAGTATTTGCTTGGAAGGAAGATATGTAACTTCCAAGTTATTAAAAAGAAAAGGAATAGAGCGCAGTGGCCGGGGTTCGATCCCCAGAGTGCTACGCCGGCCTGGCCCATGGGGTGTGCTGAGACAGCCATTGAGAGTGGACGTGGTGGCGTGTACCTGCAATCCCAGCACTTGGGAGACTGAAAACAGGAGAATCACTATGAGTCTGATCTACACAGTGAATACCTGTAGTAAATACATTAAAAAAAAAAAAGAAAGAAAAAAGAAAAGGAAGAAAACAAAGAATAACGTTTGCATCTAATATATTACAAGAGGTATAGACATACTATAGATCACAGCTGAACTTCAAGTGGTGTGATTATAGGAATTTTATGCTTACTACAGAGTATAAATGGTCTTCTAGTAACTTTATCACTTAAAAACATCACTGGAAGCTGGGTGTGCCAGTGCACACCTGTAAATGCAGCACTAAGGAGACTGAGGTTGGAGGATGGCATGAATTCTAGGCCAGGATGGACTCTATAGTGAGTTCAAGATTAGCTGGACTATACAATGAGACTCTGTCTCAAAAAATTAAAAAAAAAAAAAAAAAGAAGTCAATTGAAAAAGCAAAGCAAATATAAGTTAGAAACATTATAAATCAAACATTACTTACTTAGTTTCTCCATCTGATACAGCCACAACTCTAGCTTCTTCAAGGTGAGGCCAATTAACAAAGACAGACTTTCCAAGCACAGATGAAGCTACATTTTCTATACTCTTGAAGGACAAACAGAAAAATTAATTCATGTTTTAGGTCTGAGAGAAAACTTTAAATAGGTAAAATTTAAAGTTAGCTTTACATTTAAAATTTAAAGATAGCTCAGCGGACTAAAGTGCCTCCTTAGGCAGAGTGCAGTGGCCAGGGTTCAATCCCCAACGTGCTATGCTGGCCCTGCCCTGGGGCGTGCTGAGACAGCAATTGAGACTGGGCATGGTGGCACATGATAGTGTACGCCTGTAATCCCAGTGCCTGGGAGGCTGAAAATGAAGAATCACTACAATGGGATCTATGTTGTGAGACCCTGTAGACCCTGTACTAAATACAAAAAAAAAAAAAAAAATTTCTAACTTCTACCTAAGCACCTCTCTTCCCCCAACCCAAGTACTAGTGATTGAGTGCTGAGCTATGTCTCCAGCCTTTAAAAAAAATTATCTCTTCTGAGAGCCAGGCATGATGGCACACGCTTTAAACCTAGCCTGTGGGAGGCTGGGCAGGACAGCTGCAAATTTCAGAGCAGACTGAGCTACACAGTGAGGTTAAGGCCAGTCTGAACTACATGATGAGACCCTGTCTTAAAAAAAAATAAAAGAAACAAAAACCAACTTGTTTTGAGAGAGAGGATCTCACTAAACTGTCCAGGTTGGCCTCAAACTTATAGTTCTCCTGTCTCAGGAGATTTTAATTTGTGGCAGGTAAATGAAAAAAAAAAAAAAAAAAAAAACAAAAACAATAAAAAAACAAAAACAAAAACAAAAATAAAATAAAAAAAACCCACCTGAGTTAAAGATGGGACACAGGTTCAAATTTGGGCCTTTCAACCTTTTACCTCAAGAATCTTAGGCAAATCATTCCGTTAGAGACTCAGTTTCCTATCAGGAGAAGAGTACCCCCTTTGTAATGATGATAAAAGAAAATAGTATCAACAAAAACTTTATAGTTGTCATTTGATTGTTATTTTCCTTTTGGGTATCTTCCCAAAACAATTAAAAAAACACGATACCATAGTTATATATGTGCACCCATTTTATAGCAGCACGGTTTGTGCTAAATCTTGAAAAAAACCCAAAGGCTCATCAACCAAGGAACGGATTTAAAAAAATGTATTAATTTTATGTAATGGAGTACTGTTCAGTCATAAAGAAGGATAAATGTGAGACTGTTATAGGTAAATGTATGGCACTGGAGACCATACTCCCTAAGTGAAATAAATCAGACACACATATGTAAATACAGTTCTGTCTCCCTGGTGTGAGTAACTAAAAGACTAAATAAGGTCTAAAATGTACAGCAGATATTGTGAAATGGGAATTGTTCAAAAGGAAAAATAATCTAGAATGAGGAAAAAGAGGTGAGGATGGAAGAGAAAAGGGAAAAAATGCAAGGCAGGTATACTATGTGTCTCTTAGTTCATTGAAAAGGAAGGTTTTTGTCCTAATATTGAATGGAGAAAAACTTCAATGACCATATCTTACATTCTGAATAACTACTTTAAAGATAATGATATAAAATGTATTAATTATTCTATTTTTGTTATGAAGTTTTGTTTTATAAATGCAAAGTCTTGTGTAAATATTTTGCAAAAAGTATTTTAAATAAAAATTCTAGTAAAAGGAAACAATTATGCACTTCAGTTTATAATTTGGAGAATAACTGATATCAAGTGGCTTAAATTTAAATTTCTGTTTAGCTTTTTATTATAAAATTTTTTGGTAACTTTTAAAAATACATTTTAGTACAAGGACTACAGGCTGTCATTATACAGATCCGATTCATAGTGATCCTCCCATTTTCAGCCTCCCAAGCACTGGGATTATACCACCACGCCTAGTCTCAGTCACCTTCTTAGTAAGCGCCAGGGGTTGGGGCTGGCACGGAATACCAGGGATAGAACCTGGTCCCTGCGCCTGTATAAGCAGGAGCTTTTTAGTCTGCTGAACTATTTGGCTGGCCCTTTTTTTCTTTGGTAACTTTTGCTTTGCTTTTTAGAGACAGGGTCTTACTATGCAATTCAGGGTGGGCTTGAACTATGTAGACTACGCTGGCCTCAAATTCGCAGTGATCTTCCTGTTTCAGCCTCTGGAATGCTGGAACTACTGGTGTGAGCCACCGTGTCCAGCTCCATTGAGTGGTTTTAAGACCTTCCAATAACTCAACTCCCCTCTTTGGCATAGGTTTTGCTTGATGAGCTGTCGCTTCTCACGGCTATGTTTTGTTTTGGGTTTTCTTTTTTTTTTTTTGGTTCCTCGAATGCCTTCAGGGCACTATTGGCCAGCAGGAGAGGTGTGAGGTTCGAACTCCAGCAACCTGAGGCTGACAGCTTTGTGGAAGCAGCCACTTAAAGGCCTGAGCTAGGGCCAGGCCCCCGGGTTTTCTTGAGATAGGGCTTCTCTACTACATAGCCCAGGCTGGCCTCACTCTCACAGCAGCCCTTTCCAGTCTCCCCAGTGCTGGGAATATTGGTGTGCCCCACCATGCTCAGCTGGTTACACTTCTAGTCCCCCAGTCCTCTGTGCAATGATAAACTTTTTTTTTTTTTAATGATAAACTTCTTGATCAAGGGCTTTAATTTGCTACCTTTACTTCCTTCTATCTAGTCCTAAGCTAGTCACCCTCGATTCCTCCTGTACTGAAGATTGAACCCAAGGCCCTCACACTGAGCCACATCCTCAGCTTGTTTAGTTTTTGAGATAAGGTCTTGCTAAGGTGCCTAGGCTGGGCTCCAGCTTTTGGTTTTTTCAGAGTAATGGCTCTTAGAAGTTGGACTTCTGCTTTATGAGTTTACCAGAACAAAATTTTCCAGTCTCAACATCAACATCCTAATGGACAGATTCACAGACTTTGTTTCAGTTTTTGTTTTTTCCTCAGACTTACATAGCACACAACCCCTGTTCCAAGCTTCTGTGGTACTACTTGACTTACGAATCATTCTTTTTTTTGGCAGAACTGGAGATTGAACTCAGGCCCTTGTGCTTGCCAGGGAAGTGCTTATTCCACTGAGCCATCTTCCCGGCCTTGAATCATTCTTTTTTTTAACTTCTGGCTTCACTGTGTCACGTTTACTGGTTTTTATTTATGTGGGGCCTATGAACTATCAGTGTACTCTCTTTTAAGGGAAGTGAGCTTCAACACCCCAGCTACCTATTCTCTGTTGACAATTTGTCTCCCATCCAAGTACAAACCAGGCCCGACCCTGCTTAACTTCCGAGATCAGACGAGATTGGGTGCATTCAGGGTGGTATGGCTGTAGACGACACTTTGTATAACCCTCTCTCTGTCCAATCTCTATCTAGTTTCAGGTATTAACTGTAAATAAATAGCCTTTCTAAACTGATTGGTGTTTCTGATTTTGTTTTTTTTTTAACACTTGATCTTAGCCAAGAGGCTGGGAAGTGATTGATGATTGTGTTTTGTTGAGAAGTCTTACTCTGTACTCTGAACTGGCATTGAGCTCACGATACAGCCTATGCTGGCCTCAAGCTCAAGTGATCACTCCGCCTCAGCATCTCAGGTGACTACAGGCACGCATCACCATGCCTGCGTTAAACTGAGTTTCTGTATTTGAACTACAGGACACAATAAAATGGTTAGACTATTTTCTTAATTGTAAGGATGGAACTAGAACTAGTAACGTTCAAAAGGCACCAAAAGAGTGGTAGAATCAAACATTTTAATATTGCTTTAAAATTCTACTGCTATTACTAATGTCTCTAAATCAACAACTCCTCTATTTTAACTTTTCTAGTCCAGTAAACTGTATTCTTTTCTAGATAATTTACCTGGACACCTCAGTCATATGTACTCTTTTCTTCCTCTCTTCTCCCTGTATATTTGAACAAATAATAGAACACACTCCATCATGTTCATGGCACTCCCACAGTTTGTGTTCTTATCAACTGTGCCACAAAGGATGAATGCGCAGGCTTTTTTTGCTATTGTTTTAATTTCTCCTGTGCAGTGGCACTGCCACCAAATTAATTTTATGAAAATAAAGATTTCAAAATAACAGTCATGTGAGTCATAGTATGTTATATATCTTTGGTAGACACACTGGCAGCTACAAAAACTTACACTGAATAAACACCTGACAAATGACCAATGAGTGCAATACTTACAAGTTCATTTGATTCTGTATTCACTAAGATTTCCAACATCATGTTTTCTCCACGACTGCTTTGCTGAAATACTTGAACACCACTTTTCTTCAAAAAAAACTTCAAAAGAATTTTACAAATTAATTTTAATTATTTCTCCATAATCACTTAGCATAACAAAGTGAAAAATTATGAATTAAGTAATCACTAACTTTGTGTTTGATGTGTTTCAGAGTAGGAAATCCACAGAAATATAATGCCTTCTGGTCAACTCTGGTTATTTTATTTTTGTTTATATCTACATGCCAAGCATCTAGTGATATTATTTTGTACCTAGAAAATAAATCAAGGTATTTAAAATTCAAACATTATAAGTAATTAGAGTTTTTAACTTTTTCCTTATTGTTTCATAAGAATATTCCTTACTTTAAAAAACGGACAAATATTCAAAACAAAAATCCTCTACAAAATTTTAACAGAAAGAGAAACAAAATCTGACCTAAGGGATCAGCTATAGGAAACGTATGACTGATGTACTAATCCTTGGAAAATTGGACTTAAATCATCACCTTTTATTATTATTTATTTATTTATTTTTGACAGTATCTTGCTATGCAGCTTAGGCTAGCTTTGAGCTCTCTACATAGCTCAGGCTGGCCTTAAACTCCCAGAAATACTCCTGCCTCAGCCTCCTGAATACTGGAATTATAGGTGTGCACCGCTATGCCTGGCTGAACTACTAGGTTTAAGTGATTCAACCTAGTTCAGCCTTCCCAGTGGCTGGGACAACAGGCTCAGGCCACCCTACTTGGTTCATTATTAAATGGCCACCATGAACTTACTGATAATTCTTCAAGTAGATATCAAAACTCTTTTGGTGTCAGGGCTTACTTGTTACTGAAAACTACCAAATAATCTTACCTTGTATAGCAATGTTCTATGGCAGGGAACTTTTCTGGCCATGGAGATGGGTAGGTGAACTCTGTGTCTTTATCATACCAGCACATTAGGCACTCACTGTGTCGGTTTCTTTTCCTCTCTTCCTCTTTGAGGGCATGGTTACATGACTCCATGGCTCCCAACAATCTCTTCTAAATGTAAAGAATGAAGACAAGGATTAAAATTACAAAAATTCCCTAAGGTCAACACACAGAATAAATCTTTTCCCTTCCTAGCAGAATTATTACTTGTGCTCTTGAAAAACCTACCAAAAATTCTTTTCCATTTAAAAACAATATTTTATTTATTTATTTGGTACAGGTTCTCACAGCCCAGACTTGTGATGATCCTCCTGTTTCAGCCTCCCTGGCACTGGAATTATAGGGATGTGCCACCACACCTGGACTCTCTTGTGGATTTAGCGTGCCAGAGAGTGGGGCCGCAGAATAAAGTTTTTTTTGTTTTTTTTTTTTTGTGGAACCGGGGATTAAACTCAGGCCCTTGCGCTTACCAGGGAAGTGCTTATTCCACTGAGCCATCCCCCGGCCCCGCAGAATGAAGTTTGTAAAAAAATTTTTAAATTATTTTTTACTTTTTTAAAGAATACAAAATTTAGGAAAAAAAGCATTAGAAATGATACAAAATATCACTAAACAAAGTAATAGGAATTCCACAATGGTGGCTGTATTACATATTGTTTGTGTTTATATTATAGTTCCAAGTTTTTATTTCTGATGTGATCTCTTAAGTTCTGTAAGCAAGTACATGGCTGATGTGAAAATGTCGATAAGTAATTTAAATATGCAATACATATTAAGAATCCAGTATTTTATTCATATTTAATGTTCCTGTTAACTACACATTGCATAATATAATAGGAAACTCCTGACAAAATAGCAAGACTAGTGAGATGTCACATATGTCCTACAAAAAAGCCAAGAAACAAAACATATGTGTGGTCAGTGAAAGCAGTATTATGTGTCAGGAACGTTGTCTCATCATGTGTGAAGACTGACTTATGTGTGAAAAATGAAGTAAAGATTTTTTTCTTGCAGAACACAATTGTTATTTTCATTTTAGTTCATACAGGAATTTATTTCTGCTGTTTTTTTTTTTTTTTTTTTTTTTTGTTAATTTGAGACAGGGTCTTGCTGTGCAGTTCAGGCCAGCCTTGAGCTTACTTTGTAGCCCAGGCTGGTCTTGAACTCTCAACAATCCTCCTGCCTCAGCCTCTCAAGTGTTGGGATTACAGGCCTGTGCCATTATGTCCAGCTTATTTCTGTTGTTTTTCTTTAAATTTTGTATGCCAAAATCTAGTCAATGATGAAAATTTGGAAGCTTTTTTTATAAAAACTCAGTATTAAAAATAGAATACTAAAAACCCCCCACAATACATTTTGTTATATTTTTCCTGGTAAGCACTCTTGTTTAATACCATAATTCATCAATAGAAATATTCTAAAGAATTTTTTTTTTTTTTTTTTTCCTGGAACAGGGGATTGAACTCAGGCCCTTGCACTTGCCAGGCAAGCGCTTATTCTACTGAGCTATCTCCCTGGCCCCTATTCTAAATAAACATGGGTTTATTCTTGTTTATGAGAAAAAAAAGTGAGATGCTCTGTGGGCTAGAAATAAGCAACAAAAGCAAAGGAAACTGAATCAAACTAATAATCAGGGGCTGGCCAGATAGCTCAGCAGACTAAGTGCCTGCTTAGGCAGAGCGAAGTGGCTTGGATTTGTTTTTTTTTGTTTTGTTTTTGGCAGAACTGGGGATTGAACTCAGGCCCTTACACTTGCCAGGGAAGTGCTTATTCTACTGAGCCATCTCCTTGGCCCCTTAAAAGTTTTTTTTTTTTTTTTTTTTTTTTTTTTTTTTAAAGAGATTGATTCTTTTTTTGGCGGAACTGGGGATTGAACTCAGACCCTTGCACTTGCCAGGGAAATGCTTATTCTACTGAGCCACCTCATTAGCCCCAGTGGCCTGGATTTGATCTCTGGGGTGCTGTGCTGGTCCCACCCCTGGGGCATGCTAAGACAGCAATTGAGACTGGGCATGGTGGTGGGTACCTGTAATCCCAGCACTTGGGAAGCTGAAAACAGGAGAATCACTATGAGTCCATTCTAGTGGTGAGACCTTGTACTAAATACATAAAAAAATAAAAAAGGAATAGATAAAACTAATAATCTGTGTACAGCAACAGAACGAAGAGCCAATCTATGGAATGGGAGAGAGTCCTTGCAAACTATGTCTCTTAGGTGGCTAACATCCAAAATGTATAATAAATTCAGTATGAACATATGTGAAGAACTTAGCAATGAAAACTGATTTAAAAAATGGGCAAGGATCCTGAATGGACATAGTTGGTTGGATAACTCAGTGGTACAGTGTGTGCTTAGCATACATAAGGCTTTAGGATTGATGTCTAGCAAGGCAAAAAAAAGTTCCTATGTTCACTGCAGAACTGTATTCATAAGAGGAACTTAATAGCTGCTATTTAGCCCAATTTCAGAATTGTTATAGAGGACTCCTATTCCTATTCTTTTTCATAAAAGTAACCTATTGTGATTATATACTGAGAAAGTAGGGTAGAAGAGAAAATTTCTATTTTAAATTCTTAGGTGTCTGAATCAAGAGAACTTTCTACAAGAAAGAGCATTTGAGTAAACTCGTACATCTAAAGTCAATTTAAACATGTGGTTCTGGGGCCCTGGAGATAGCCCAATGGCATATGTGCTTGCCTAACAAGCACAGGGTCCCAAGTTCAATCCCCTGTATCACAAAAGGAAAAGCCAACAACAACAACAAAGAAACAAAAAATGAGGTTCTGGACTTGGAGCTCGCCGATGTTATGAGATGAGACTTGAACGGACACACCAGTGTGTTTATTATTTGGACAGGATGTGAATTATTTTAACCAAAAGGCAGAATATAACAGATGGTCTGCAATGATGGCAATATGACTGCAGTAATTCTATCCACCTTAGTATGTGAGAATTTTTCCTTATTCCTTAAGTTTGGGTTGGCCTTTGTCTAACATTGTAAAGCCATTCAGCTTTTTAACTAGCATACAAAAGTTCTAAGTTCTGCTGTACATCATAGAGTAGCTAAATGTCATTAACATAAATGATAATTAAACCAACTGCTCACTGAACAATATATGAATATATATATAATTCATATTTATTTGCACTGACCTCATCAATAAAAGGTATTAATACAACAGCCTCCCATTCTTGTTGTTTTCCATTTAGATCAGTTTTAAAATCAGGTGGATAATATTCTATAATCGGTGAGTCTTCACTGGTCATCAAATGCTGTAAAAATATAAAATAGTGTAACAGAAATATAAAAGCTAATATCAATATAGCTTATTATTAACGTATTTACAATATTTCCCTACATGTCATAATTTAAAATTTCTAAATAAAGTAAATTTTTATATTTTAGATACATTCCAATGTATATGCTATGGTCTTAGTTTCAACTAAGAATATTCTTAGTACTTTTCAATTTTATTAACCTAATTATGCAGTAAAACCACCTTTATTCTGAAAATTAATTTTGCCATTTTTGTTTTTTATTGTCTTTTTACTCTATAAAGATACTTAAATACTATTTTCTTATTTACTTCTTCAGTTCATTTCACAAATGTGTAAGTCTTTCCTTTAAACCTCAACTTAACAATTTACCTTCAAGAACCAATTGTCTGGGGAGATAGCTCAGCAGCATAAGTGTCTGCCTGGCAAGTGCCAAGGTCCTGAGTTTGATCCCCAGTAAATCCTCAAGTCTAAGAATCACTGTATCACTGACATCAAAGAAAATAATCCAACAACACACTTTTTTTTTAGAACTGGGGATTGAACTCAGGCCCTTGTGCTTGCCAGGCAAGTGCTTATTGTACTGAGCTATCTCCCCGGACCCAACAACACACATTTTGATTGGAGATTTTGTAACAGAGGTAGACAAACAAAGAAGGCAAAAGGAAAGCATGAAAGATTATGATACAACATTTTTGTGAAAGAAATAAAATGGCCTATTTCTAGGGCAATACTCAAAAACTTACTATCATATGGCATGTACACCAAACAAATAAAACAGATACAGTTTTAATATACGTAACATGACCACAGTGGCCCACAGGAGTTGAATATCAACGTTCAATATACTCAAAAGAAGAAAAAAAGGACCCTCACCCCCTAAAAAAACCTTGTAAGAGCTGGGCATGGTGGTGCATGCCTATAATCCCAGCACTCAGGAGGCAGAGGAAGGAGAATTGAGTTTGAGACCAGCCTGGGCTACAAAGTGAGCTCAAGGCCAAGCTGAACTGCATAGCAAGATCCTGTCTCAAAAAGCAAAAGCAAAAGTAAAAGCGAAAGCAAGAAAGAAGCTTTCAAAGAAAGGGGGGCTAGAAGTTAAAGGATAGGTTAAGGTTTAGAAAGACAGAAAAAGGCTGGAGATATAGCTTCGTGGCACAGCGCCTGCAATCATAAGCTCAATTCTCACTCTCAATAGCAAACAAAACCTGAAAGACATAGAAAAGAGCCTGGCAGTGTTGACGGAGCACTGTGCATATGTGTATGTGTACACACCTGTCTATCTACTTCAAGTCCTGAAATTCGACCACAGAATTAGAACAAACTGATATTACTTTTCAAGGACTTTGTTAAAGAAATGAACTGTATTTAGAACTAAAAACAAATGTCTTTGTTTATTAAATAAATTTGGCTACTATTGCTTCTAGATTTGGACAAAGAACGCATATATCAAAAATATATATAAAACATTCAATTCCAAAGAGAAAATTCAATTTTAAAACCTACCTGGTAGCATGCAGGAAGCAAATTTTTGCTAGCAGCTGGAAGTACAGCAAGCAGCTGCTCAAATGGCTTAAAAGGTTTTCCTAGTTCAAAGTGGACTTTGAGTGTACTGATGTTTCGGATATCAGATAGAAAAGGCGCATAATGATAAGGATAATACCTATAAAACAAAATGAGCTTTAGACAACAGGTAAACTTTTGTGAAATAGGTCAACATTACTTTTTCTATATTTTACAGCACATAACAATTTTAACGGAAAATCAAGCATCACTTATAATTCTATCACCTGAATATAAGAAATTAGCAATGCTAGACAGATCTGGTGGTACACTCCTATAATCCTAGTACCCCGGAGGCTAAGGCCAGAAGATTACTGAATTTGGGGCCAGCCTGAGCTACATGGTGAGACCCTGTCTCAGAAAACAAAATAAAACAAAACAAAGTAATACTAACAAATTCAGGATTCATTACTGGAAACCAGCACAGTATTCCTCAAAGTGCAGTTTCACATTTCTAAAACTGGATGTAGGCCACTGTATTCTCACTTCCATGGTGGCTTTGCCTTCATGCTATAGGGTGGAGAACACTTTTCTTTCTGTGGAACTGGGGATTGAACTCAGGCCCTTTTGCTTGCCTGGTAAGTGCTTATTCTACTGTGCTATCTCCTCAGCCCAGCACTTCTTTTTCTATTTTTACTTGGCCTAACCCTGCTCTGCAGAGCCTGTTTCTTATATTTAATAAAACACTGCTGTTAAAGAAACAAAAACAAAAACAAAACAGAAACCAAACTGGATGTATCAGGTCATTTCAGAATAAATATAAAATACTGCTCTTTGTTCTTATTTTGTGTGTGTGTTTTCCATACCAAGATTAAACTCAGGACCTTGCACTTGCCAGGCAGGCACTTGTGCTGCTGAGCTATATCCCCAGCCCTGCTCTTGATTTTGAGATGTGGGCAGAGGCTTCTTGATAAGTTACCCAGTCTAGTCTTTTTTTTTAAGTGGCTCACGATTTCTTACCTCCCTGCCGCCTTCCTTCTCCCTCCCTCCCTCTTCCTCCCTCCGCCCCCCCTTTCTTTCGCTATCTCCCCGGACCCAACCCAGTCTAGTCTTAAACTCTTGGTCTCAAGGGATTTTCCTGCCTCAGCCTCCCAGTGGTGGGAATACAGGTAAGTGCCACTAAGCCCAGCTTGTAACATGTTCCTGCTTTTTTTTTTGGGGGGGGGTGTTTTCTTTTACAGTGCTAGAAATGAGATTCAGTGTGCTAAGCAAGTACTCTACCAATATGCTATACCTCAGTGATGTATTGTTTCTATTAACGCCTAAAATATTGACTATGAATCTTTAAGTCAGGAGACTGGATATTAAGGAGGTAGTCTACAGATTTGACCCTGTGACTTCTGAGGAGGGGACTTAGAGCAGTGGAATGTCCTGAGAAAAGCTCAAGTTAGCTCACAAGGACAGGGGGAAGAACAAGGTATAACCAGTCTGAATTTATATGGCCACTACCAGTCAGTTGTAAAATTTGTCTTTCAACTAGTATACATATTATTAATTTGTAATGAAGATTAAACTATATCTTAATCATACACACTAATTTATTTTTAATACACTCCCATCTATACAAACAGAAATATTTTCAGAACTTTGAACACTGAATTTAAAAAAAGGATGGGAAAAAAATTTAAAAAATAAAAAAAGGACGGGAAAGCTTCTGAGGCAGAATGGCATAGGGAATAATGTAAGATACACAGACTTTGGATTGCATTTATTCTTGAGTATTTAACCATAGTTTCATCATTTATAGCAGAGAGAAAACAATGTTTACTTTAAGTAGTTTGAAGATTATGAAAGAAGATAAATTTAAGGACCTAGTCTTGATGTCTGGTAATAAGGCAGGAAGAACTTATGTTAACCTTCTTAAAAAATGCCAAATCAAGGATTTCATTAGATTTCTTTTTTCTTTTTCTTTCTTTCTTTTCTTTTTTTTTTTTTTTTTGCAGAACCAGGGATTGAACTCAGACCCTTGCGCTTGCCAGGGAAGCACTTATTCTACTGAGACATCTACCCAGCCGCTAGATTTCTGATTTTCATTAGATTTCATTAGATCAAGGTTTTTCATTAGACTGTTCTCCAGGGGGCCTAGAGAATCTGGCCAATGACTGTAAAAATAAACTTTTAGTAAGTGAAATCACAATTAATGCCACCACATTACTTTACATTGGTTTATGTTGCTGGACAGTGTTCTAAAAATAGAGCCCAGCAAAAGTGCTTTGAAACAAGAACTATGGCAGTACTTAAATCTCTACCTTTCACAATATGATTTTAAAAAATTTTTATTTTCTTAATTTGGCGGCTGGTTTGGAAATGTAGATGGAATTTGTTGGAATATAAAGTATGAGAGAAATGGCGAATTATTACTATTTGTAGTAAAAGTAACTACTTTCTTTTTTCTTCTTCCCTCTATATACAAATACTCATTCTTTTTTTTTTTTTTTTTTTTTCCAGAACCAGGGATTAAACTCAGGTCCTTGCGCTTGAGAGGCAAGCGCTTATTCTACTGAGCTATCTCCCTGACTCCTAAATACTCATTCTTTAAAGATTACTCTTATCAGAGAATAATTTTCAAACACAAAAATTTAGAGAATTAGCACTACCATGTAACTATCATTCAAGCTCAAGAACTATCAAGACACTGTCATGTTTGAGTAATCTTTCTTTCCTTTCTTTTTTTTTTTTTTCATGGTGATGGGGATCAAACCCAGGGTGGGCCTTTTCATGCAAGACATGAAGCCAGGGATATAGCTTAGTCACTTAAGTCCCTACTTGGCAAGTGCAAGGTCCTGAGTTCATCTCCCACTCCCACCCTATATGAACAAACAAACAAACAAATGAACAAAAAACATGCTAGGCAGGCACTACTACTGAGCTATAGCTCAGATTCTTAGTTCAGATTCTTCTCCATAGAGAATTTTATGTCCTTAGATTAACAAAGAACTTTTATAATAGGCCATCTGCTGGGGATGTCTTTCTTTCTTTCTTTCTTTCTTTCTTTTTTTTTTTTTTTTTTTTTTTGTGGGGGATGTCTCTCTTAGAAGTGTTAAGTATTTTTATTTAAGAACAGATTATCTGTATTTAAACTTGATA